CACAAAACATGCATAAAATACAACATTGCCATCTGCTTCAAAGGAGTGTGAGATGATGCCAAAATTATAGCTTTCTAATTCCTCACACTCAGAAATAGTCCTCTCTGACCCAAAATCTATTAAAAAAAAAAACAGAAAAAAAGTATTGGAAACATTTTAATTTTTACAAACATACTTCACAGTACAGACCTCTTAACAAGAGAGTAACAGTTTTAGCACAAGGGAACTATTGCCTCCATTGCTATGCAGTTGAGACAGGTATTATCTCTGGTTCTGCTTTCTGTGCCATTCAATGTAAATAATCTGCTTTCCTAACATCAGAAGTGATTAGTAGATAATTAGAATAAAGTAGCAGATCAAAGGAGATGAGAATTTCAGAGAAACCACTGCTAATGAAGGATAAGATTTCACAATTATTCTGTTACTTATTTGCAATTTTCTCTGACCAACCATAAATCCTTTTAATTTCATTAAAAAATAATCTGATTTAAAAAGCATAGACCAATACTATAAGAGATTTCATAATCTGAAATTACAAGTCTAAATACATTATCTTTCAAAAGAATGAGGTTAAAGGAGGTAAAAACAGGTCAAGTGTGTCATCTTAAAGAATGAGACAACTGTAAATTCTCTCAAGTGGTGACAAAGAGACATGAAGAGGTGTTACTGTCCACAACACCCAAAGCAAGGCTACAGTTCTTCTCAAATTGGGTCAGGACACTTGAAGCATCTGATAAGATTCCAATAATCCCTTTTGCATTTAACTATGCAGACCTTCTTGTTTGGAAACAATGTGGCTTTCTAATAATAAACATCACTTCTTGACCTATATTTAGTAACAGAAAAAAAAAGAATTCAATGTTGGAACCCAAACTATGCAATCTTGTAGCAGAAATGGTGATTTTATTTTACAGATGGAGGTAAAGGCCTCAAATCCTACAACTTAACAACCACTGTCAGTAAGGATAACAGTATCTGGAAGACTTTTCAAACTTTCCTTGCCCTGGAAGGTGAGGGGGGTAAAAAGTATCAAAGAGGTGCACCAAGGGACAGCTGTCATTATCTTCCTGGATGTTCGCATCCTAGTTATTTATTTTTTTTCTTCAGCTTATGCTAGGAGTTATAGCTCCCACTGGAATAAGGATTTCACTAAAGTTCAAATACTGAATTTCTTATGTGAACAAATACTGGAGGGATAAGGTAGAGAGCAGGGTTTAAAACCTTTATCGTAACATTTTCACTTATTTTGTCATGATTACAAATATTCTTGTCTTCAGGAATTGATCCATAAATCTTTTAAATTTTGAATGTTTTTAAATAATGCCACTGAGAATGTGACCATGTGTAGGGTAAACGAATTAATCAGGCTTTTTATGCCACTAGCCTCTGTGGCTATCACCTGTGGCCTTGATCGTGTTCATACACAAAGCACTTGGGGGTGTGGGCCTGGGACACGAGTGCCTGATTGTGGGCACCTGGAGCATGCGTAGGGTCATGTACAAGTGTGCACACCTGAGCCTAGAGGCTGGGATGAGAGGTGCGGCAGCAGTGGGGACGATGAGTGGCATGACTATAGAAGAGGTGAGACCATGAGGTATGAGAGAATGCCAGAGAGAAAGAAAGCATAAAGATTTATGAGGGGCTAGGAGGCTTGGGTGCTGCCAGGCTCCTGATACCCAAGTTCCCCTTGTACTTTGTTGCCCCACAACACCGAGCTCTTTTGTGTCACTGATTCAAGTATGTTCAGGAACATCTCCTACATACATCACATTGATGTTCTGATTTTTTTATTTAAGATTTTATTTATTTATGCATATAAGAGCTGTGGTGTAGACCAGAGGTGCAGGGGGTGAGAAGATTTGTCATTGACAGAGTGGGGTGCAGACCAGGCAGATCTATTGAAATACACTGCTAATGGGAGCAGTGGGTGAGACAAGAGAGGTCTGCTGCCCCATGTGAGCCAGCAACCTGGCAGGGGATTGAATTTGTGCTGCAGTGGCTGCTGACAGCTTCACAGTGCTGAGACTTAACCCTTATGCCACCAGGGAGGCCCTCAATATTCTGACTTTTTGTTGAAAAGTTGAGGGAAGATGTTTATAGCTATTCTGAGAAGCACTTTTTCTAAAAAAATTCCTATGCAGATAAACTATTGGAGGTTTTAAAACTGCTTCGTGGAGCCCAGAGCTGTGACAAGTCTTCCATCACCATAATAAGGCCAAGGTGCAGGCTAACAGAGACTATAGAGCTGTGTCCTCACCTCCCTCCTTCTATACCCAGAGCAGCTCTGCTAGTGGCATCTGTCTCTCTATGTCTATATCCATAAATTGATAAATGTATAGATTCAGGCTATAATATTTGTTTGGGTAAAGGTCACTGTTCTTACAAAAGAGAAATTTGAAAACCATTCTCATAGTTTAAAATTCACCATCATAATAAATCCAATACTAAGGTCTACATCAAAGATTATGATCACATAACAAACAGATTGCATAGTCAACATATCTCATTTAAGGTAGCCAAGGAAGAAGTCAAAATGGGTGACCCCTAAGGCTATGATGCTTTATTTTACACCAGGGCAGCACCTGAGCAGGATCTGTGCTGTGACATATTGAAACTTGCCTCACTAGGGTGGTTTGATGGCAGTATACACGACTGCTATTGAACATTAAGCCATGACAGAATGGAAGCTCAGCGTGAGAAAGAAGTGATAGTACCTGGCTCTAGATATGTCACAACCCGGGGGTCCTCAAATGAGCAAGGAACTATTTTCAGAAAAATAATTCTCAAAGACTTGGGGGTCATGATGCCTTTTCTTTTCCCTTAAAAATCCTTAGCTCCTCTTAACTGATCAAATAAACTTTGCAGGCTCATTTCAAAAGTTACCACCTCTCTGAAAGCTTCCTTTGGACCTAGTTTGTGGGACATTCCTCTGGGTTCACTTTCAGACATGTTGGCCAGGTAATCATTATTTGCTTGTGCATCTATTCACCACCTAGTTAAAGTTAAGTGAATAAACAGCTGAATGAATCTATGGTTTTAGAGGTATGGGGTGTATACGGAAAACCAGTTCTAATTTAGTTCTAATTTGGAACAAACTGGCAGAGCAAGAGAAACATTCTCTGCCTTTCTGGGAATAAAAGTTAGAAAGCATGGTTTATCTTGAAGTAAGAAGGAATTAGGTATTATTTATCTCATTATTTTAGGTAAGAAGCAATTGTAAGGGAAATTTTTGTATTTGTATTTGTAGACCCCAAATATACACATACTCATAATGGATTTCAACAGGGAACTTAAATTTCAATGTGACTCACGATCGCCATCTTCTGGAAATAGGGTGAACACCTATTTCAGTTAAAAGTTGGGAGTCACAAGGCTTTTAATAACATTAAACACACACACACACACACACACACAGCACAACTGTTTAACATATAAAACCTAATCTATAAACTCTAGGACATTCAGAGTATAGTCTGTTTAAGGCACATTAAATATGAACTCTAGGATTTCCGAAAGGATACTTTAAGTAGAAGCAAAATTTAAAGTTTAGAATCCATTTTCAAATATTTGTCATTTGTTATATTAATTAACTATAATTATTATATTATCCTATCTCATTTCTGTGGGGGTAAAGAGCTACATTATATTCGGGCTGTGTGGAAAAAGGATAAATTAGGGGTGAGGTTGGAAGGTGACACATACTCTAAGATAAGGCTTCTGCGAAATAAGGACACAAAAATAAGTTCAAATATAGGGGAGTCATGAGATGCTTCTAAACATCTCCACTTCCTAAAGTGATCATCATCGGTTGAGACTGGAGAATGACATGTAGAGTCACACACAGCAATGACATTAGAGAGAAAGCCACCTGCAGCTGGAGCAAGAACTTCCTCAGGATGACACAGAGGGCAGGGCACAAGAGAGAAGAGGGGAGAAAAGTTCAGGGGAGCATCAGCAGCACTGGGCACATTTCAAGACAGGAAGCACCAGGACATTGAGACAGAAGGAGGAGGAAAAAAAATGTCAGCCTCTATTCACCTGAAGGCAATAGACAAACTTGCTTCTGGCAGTACAACATGAATACAGTTGAAGAAATGATGTAAATAGCGAGTTATTTAATGAAAAGTTAAAGGTTAGAATGAAAATAATTGAGTGGCTAAGAGCTTGACCTCTGGAGTCAGAGTGAGAATTTGAGCTCACCCTCTCCTGAACTGTGCAACCTCAGCCAACTTGCTTAACTTGCTTAACCAACTTGCTTTCATGCATCTGTAAAACTGGGAAAATTAACAGTACCTACCTCAAAGGAATGGTGTGAAGATTAAATAAATAGATGCAAGAGCTATGAATAGCACCTGACACTTGGTAAGTACTATACAAAATGTTTGCTATTCTAAATGAAGAAAGCAATTCCTGTCATGTATAAAGTATCAATTGCACTGTATCCATCACTTTCCCTCTGAAACGGCCTTGGTTTCTTAATCTGGAAAGTGAAAAAAATCTATAGATGTGATGATAGATATGAGGGAGTATCTAAGGGAGGGATGACTAGCAATGTGCAAGTACTGGGTTGTTCACTTATATGTGACTATTCGCTATAAAGGCAAACAGGCTGTATGTGTTACATTTTTATATCACACATTCTACACATGTATTAACTACAGGTACATATATATGACTTGTGCATGTGCATGTATGCCTGGAGGGAGGCACACTTATCGTCAGCAGCACAGATGCATGGAACATGCCAGCAAGATGACTAGACAAAGCTAATTTTGATCCAACACTGTGAAAAGAGTGATGATCTTTACAAAGTAATTCCAGAGGACTTTTCAGCAAAAATTTGAACTGATCTGAAGATTTGTTGACGCTAAGGACAGAGGAGATTCAATAGTAAGTGGCCTGTCAAGATACTTTGATTTTTCTTTTATTGGCCCCTTGAGTAAAGATTAAAGTTTTCTGGAAATCCAACGTCTGTGTGAGTGAGACAGTCTTGCACATACCTTCTCAATCAGCTCATAGCTCTCTTCAAGCTTGAGCAGCCTGTTCTGAATGGACGTGGACGCGCGCTCGTAGACCACTCGCCACTCCTGGAAGTCACTCTCGGAGATCTCAGCCACAGCAAAACACAAAGTTCTTAGCCCTGAAAAAATGTAGCAGACATCCCAGCACCAAATCAGATTTTATTCAGAAGACTGATGCCTCCCTTTTTACTTAGCAAACTGCCATTCTAAAATGCTGATTTAATTCAAACAATAGCTTCAAGTCCATTTCAAATCTGATAAAAGTTCTATGTAAAATATGTATCAATGCTCCCCTGGCCTTTAACATCCCCATCCCATCCTGCTTCTAATTCCCAGCTCTCTTAATCCAGCCTCCACGAATACAGTGACTTTTCTAAAAATCCTAATCTTATTAGGTCATGCCTTTGCTTGCAATCTTCTGTTCTCCAGGATGAAGTTCAAACTCCAAATCTAGCTCATTCGCCATATATCAACTGCCGTCAGCCTCACTTCCTGCTGTTCACGTCCTACATGGGGCCTGTGAACATGCTGGTCATCTTTTCTCCATTCTCCCTCCCAGTCCTCTCCACCATCTGCCTGTCTACTCTAAGACTCAGCTCTGAAAGTCCTCCTCTGGCCCAGATCCCACACACAGCAATCCCCAAACCCTCCTCTGATGTGACAATGTTTCATGGCATTTTTCTTGTGGGTCTTCCTCACTAGGTGTGACGTTCCTGGAGGGCATGGATACAGAGTTCCTCATGTCATTAACTCTAGCACTGAGCACAGTGCCTTCACAGATGCTTAAGAAAGGAAGAACAGAAGGATCCCCATGGGTCTATATGCTTGTTCATTACTGCTTTTACCACTGTAAACTTGTAGTATAAAGATGCCAAATACGGGCCTCCCAGGTGGCGCAGCGGTAGAGCGCTGGGTTGCGAAGCTGCCCGCGGCCTCTGCGGCGCCGGTTCTATCCCCGGCTGCTTCCCGGCCACCGGAGGAGGGTCCCACATGGCGCGCAGACCTCTCCTGCCGCCCGCTGCTCCCCTCAGCAGTGTACTTCGGTCCTTCTGCCTGCTCTGCTCCCCGCTCTGGCTCTGGTGAATTCTTTCACCCTCCCGCGCTTCTGACTGTACCCAGTGCATGCATAAACAAAAAAAAAAAAACCCAAACAAATAAATAAATAAAAACATACCTCTATTAAAGATGCCAAATACAATGGAGGGGTAGTAACAAAAAAGAAAATCTTTCAGAAACACTCGGGGTAAATAATCAAAGCTGATGTTTGAGGTTCCTCAAGTGCTTGTTACCTGTCAACTCTATAACTCACTTGGAGGCTATCTATTGCCAGAAAAATATCCATGAGTTGGGAACAAGGAAAGGCAAAAACATTTTGTCAACCACACCTTAGACAGTTAACTAGGCTGCTGAGTAGACAAAACCCTCACTCAATGTCATTTAATCCTTTGAAAGGTAGGTGTTAGTGACCTCAAATCAAATAAAACATGGGGGGCAACATGTCAGAAGTCAGAAGCCAAGGGCATACAACTTCCAAGACAGGAGAGGTTGTCTATTGCTGGATCTCCAAATGTAGAAGTTAAATATTTGGGGCTATATTAGGACATGATTTCTTTAGGAAACTTATGCTGGGGCAGACATGGAGAAGTGTTGTTTAGTGTAAGGCCAGAAAAAGGGGGTGGAGATGAAGACCAGGCCAATTCAAATGTGTCTAGAAGCTGTGCTATCTTTAATATCACAATCAGAGAAGAGAAAGATGTTCCCCAGGCCCTTCGAAGGAAAAGAATCCCTGCTGTGTGCTGGAAGTGGTACCTGGTAAACCCTGAGGTTGGGCTTGAAGAAATCTGAACTCCATGGGGGGTGGGGTGTGTATGTGTGTGTGGGGTGTGTGTGTGTGTGTGTGTTTCCCCATATCTCTCCCCCAACCCTGAAAGCACTTGTATCCTTTCTCAGCTTGGATCAAGAGGAAAAAAGGATTTGTCAGAGAGGTCAGGTTTCATGCCAGAGGCAACAGTTCCAGCTGAAGTAGACATGAGTGAAAACTTAGATGGGAGGCTTAGATACAGCTCTGTTCACTATTTTTTTTTAAAGTGTAGAGATAAGCTTCTACAAATTCTTGTAGTAACTGACCCTAATGTTTAACAACTCTCACTTCCTTTCACCGCCCCAGATCGCCCTGTGTTGCTGTGCAGCTGTGTATTTCAGGACAGAGACAGGACTAATACACATGTGGTCCGTGGACTCTCTGCATGCATGTGGGCCTGGTGGAAGGGGCTTAATATAAAGGTTGGAGTTGAAACTAAGTTGAATATAGGCCAGAGGAGGGTTACAGGTTTATAATAGATGTTCTCCTATATAGGGAAGTATTTTGGTTTATTCTCTTTTTTCTTACTCCAATTAGAATACCCAGTTCTTCCCTTTTTTGATTTCTTCTCCTAATTACTTTGTACTTACAGGTACAAAATAAAGTATTTAAGGTATAAATAGCATTCATTCTAAAAAGTGAACAGAATTATGGGTTCTATACCCACTCACTTGTGGGGATAAAGTCTCAAAATTTTAATGTATGTAGTTTTAGGAAAGAAAGAAAATACTGTGAGGGAACAGCAGACACAGGCACACCTCAGAGATATTGTGGGTTCATTTACAGACTGCCCCCACAGAGCCACTGTCTCCACAAAGGAGCCATACAAATGTTTCTGTCTCCAAAGCACATATAAAAGTTATGTTTGCACTGTACTGTACTCTGTAAAGTGTGCCACAGTTATGTCTAGAAAAAACAATGTAAATACCCTAATCAAACATTACTTTATTGCTAAAGTAATGCTAATCATCACCTGAGCCTTCAGTGAGTCCTAATCTTTTTGTTGGTGGAAGCTCTTATAAAAAAAACCCTGTATCTGGGAAGTACAGTAAAGCAAAGTGCGGTAGAACAAGGTAAGCCTGTAATATAACCCAAGTTATCAAGATGAATCATAGCTTTAGGAATCTCTAAGTAAAGGAAAAACAACAATCCTGAAAAACATGATTTCTTTTTATTTTAATCAAGTTTTACTGCCACGTTACACTCACCTTCTGTAGCAAACTGTTCTAAATGTTTTAGGGTAATTTCTTTATGTTTTGAAGTCTCTGCCAGTCGATCATAAATCACAGTGTCCTGGAGAACAAAGAGAAGGTATAACATGCGTTAAGTAAACAATCTGAGTTTATTGAAGTTGCTGCTGGTATAAGTATTAGCAGCAAATTAGTATGAGAACATAATCTCTTCACATATTAGTTTAAAGGCATAGAAACATTTTTTCCCCTAATAACACTGTTTCTATGATGACATTAAGCAATAAGGTTTAGTCCTATTTTTTCACCTTTCTCCTTTCTTAATAGATCCGTTTTCAAAAACTCATATCCTCTCAATACTACGCTTACCTCCAAACCTCGAAGGCTGGCAGGACAGTGTGGAGTGTTCCAGCAGTCAAACAAGTTTGGGAAATGCTACACTGAGCAAAGCAAAAGAGCTTGCCCCCTGCGGCGCTGTAATGCTTTTTAGAGCCTTTAAAATAGTAATGTACAGAGCGGATTTCTAAGGGGACGGTATGGTATGTGCTCCAAACTCATTATGTGCTCCAAACTCATTCACCATCGAACCTTTAAGGGCTCAGGGCATATTTATGGGACTGGTGCTCACAAAAGAAAAAATGCGAGAAAGCACAGGTCTCGATCCATTGAGAAGGCTGGTGTGACAGTGGGGAGAAGCTTGGAGACACCCAGTGATGCCTGACAGCTGAATTTTGCTGATTGTATCACTTTAAGACTCAATTGACTTAGTCCATAAAATCCAACCACTGGATTACCTTTAAAGTTCCTTTCAGCTTTAACTTTACGCCCCACTTAGGTTTCTCTAATTTTTGCCCCTTTATCAATTGCCAATTGTTCCTTCAGATATTCTTCAGTTTTGGTTTAATGTTTTAAGAATTTTAGTATTCAGCCTGCATGGTTTTATTAGACCAGGAAAAAATAAATCATTTACCTGCAATTACTTTCTCAGTGGTATAACCCATTTTGGGGTCTCCAGTGTCAGGGCTGAGATTTGGAAGCAGACTAATGGAGTATGATTTAGAACCCTTGAGAGTAAGAGAACTCAGTGACCTCAGAACAGATGGAATATTCCAGGCCCCAATTATGAATTTCTTTTCATTTTTCAGTGGCAGAATGGAAAGGGGGGCAAAGCAAAAGGAAATGATAATTTCCCCTCAAGGCTCCTTTATGAGAATGAAAGGTATAAATTATGAACTCTGTTTTTTCCAGAGGCTAATGAAATTTTCTGTTAAGTTAGAATAGACCATTTTAAAAATAAGAAAATCTTTAAAAAATTAAAAATCATCAGACCAACACTGATAAATAGTAAAGGTGGAGAGTTTAAATTTTGCAATGCATCCAGGTAGTCCAGGGAAAGAAACTGATGCTCAGGATAGCAGAAACTCATGTTCTGCCTTCTTTTTAGTACCAGGAAGGTAGGGTTAGAATGTGGTTTTCTGCATAAACCAAATGATTTTCAATGACAATCACTATGAGCTGTGCTTACATGTGAAAACTAAATACATAAAGATTATCTACTCACACCCAAAGTAAAAATGATTTATTCACAGGGCTATCTCCAGCATTGGGTACATTCGTAGAAAACAAAAATATTTTCTATTCAGGAATAAGGAATACATGTGCATCTCCTAGGATCAGACTGAGAACCTATGTCTATATTTACAGAAAATTCTAACTGGATTCAGCAATTTGGGGTCCTAGCCCTTGACAAGGTAAAGTGAAAAATCATACTGAGAGGATGCTACAGAAGCGACAGGGCATCGTCAGATTATTGTTCCTTAGTAAAGAGCCTAGGACTTCATGATCTTAGTGAATTTTCATTTAAAAAGTATTTTCCCTGATCATCTTTTACAATGATGGGCCAACATTGTTCTGTCTTATTCAGTGCTGGCTGGTACATAGCTAGTGTTCAAAAAAGTACTTGTTAGGGCCTCCCCGGTGGCGCAGCGGTTGAGCGCTGGGTTGTGAAGCTGCCCGCAGCCTCTGCAGCACCGGTTCCATCCCCGGCTGCTCCCCGGCCACCTGAGGAGGGTCCCACAAGGCGCGCAGACCTCTTCTGCCGCCCGCTGCTCCCCTCAGCAGTGTACTTCGGTCCTTCTGCCTGCTCTGCTCCCCACTCTGGCTCTGGTGAGTCCTCTTACCCTCTCGCGCTTCTGACTGTACCCAGTGCTTGTATAAATAAATAAATAAATCTTTTAAAAAATGTTATAATAAAAAAAAGTACTTGTCAAATGAACAAAACACTTGATCATCCCAAAGTAGCATTGGACAGTAAAATGCAAGAGCCAATAATAAGAAAGAAGGTAGTGAGAGGAAAAAAAGGAGTCTCACATCATTACTTAAGCATTGCAATTTACACTGAGGATATATAGACAATCTTGCTATAAATTAGTCAGTGACCCTTAAGGACTCAGACCTTTTTGTTAGCTTAGACAGCTGGGCAGGACTGACCTGTTGCAGGCTTCTGACAACTGGTATGACTGCTAGACATCAGACACATCTATACTTCATATAAACATTTTCTGTGTGCCATTCAGAATGAGCTGTTCTTTGCCTCTACTGTGGAGGTAAATTGTTAAAAATAGCCATTTTCAGATTTGGTCTTATTTGCATTTGCCACAGAATTTTATTTAAGGGTACTTGGTTAAAATTTGTTACTTTAAAGTCTCTAAATCTTTAAGTTCATTAGTTGTTTCTAATTTCTCCTCTGGCATATACATTTCAGAGTAGAATTTTAATTTTCTTGAATCAATTCTTATTTGTTGGCTACTGCTGCAGATATAAATTGTGTATTGTGGGGCCTCCCCAGTGGCGCAGTGGTTGAGCGCTGGGTTGCAAAGCTGCCCACAGCCTCTGCAGTGCTGGTTCGATCCCCGGCTGCTCCCCGGCCACCGGAGGAGGGTCCCACATGGCGCGCAGACCTCTCCTGCCGCCCGCTGCTCCCCTCAGCAGTGTACTTTGGTCCTTCTGCCTGCTCTACTCCCTGCTCTGACTCTGGTGAATTCTCTCACCCTCCCGCTCTTCTGACTGTACCCAGTGCTTGTATAAATAAAAATAAATCTTTTAAAAAAAAATTGTGCATTGTGCATTTTCCTCTCCTCACCCTTTTGTGTATTTCTCTCTTCTGCCCCTTCTAAAAAAATGAACAAGGCAAGGGAAACTCATTGCAGAAACTCTGGAAAAAGCAAGAAAAATAGACAGCCAATCAGCCAGACATAGACACACACACAGACACACACAGACAGACAGACACACACACACACACACACACACACGTCACTTTTTTTTGGTGTGCTGGATTCTAGATGAACTCTTTAGTAATATCTTCTAAATTACCAGCATCACCCCTATCCTTCAACACTTCCTTATCTAGAATTTATTCCATTTACTAATTTTTTTCTTAAATTTATTTATGGTTCCTCATTTATCTTACTCATATCTCCATATTGCCCTCCTCCAATTTCATTTTGATTCAAAATAACTGTGATTTCTTTATCTGACTACACTCTTGTCAGAATGGTTGATGCAATAATTTTTTCTAAGTGAATTCATGTGTAGTTATTTATGTTGCTTCTCTCTTTGGCATGGGATTCTCTCTATGCTGTCTCTGTGCTGTTCTCTTGCTTCTTCCCTCTGCATGTATCCCAATCTAATGGCTCCATATACACCCCCTTGTCCCTAGCAAAGGTGGGAAGAGTTTTTCTCAGCTTCTTCTCACCATTTCTTTTAGGTTTCAAAGAGGGTTAGGCTGGCTCCCATCTGCATTTCATAGAAAGCATGACTTCCTTCCATATTCCACAGAGCCCAAACTCCAACCACTGCTCCCTGACTCTGAACCTAGAGTCTGGGACCCCATCCCATTCTGGTTAAGATTTCTGTTCCATGTACCACTTTGATGGGCTATTCTTATTTTGGTCTAAAAAAATGTTCATTGTCTTTAGCTTGGTTTTACCTTTCTGTTTCACTTTATACTATATCATCATTTTCAGCTGTTGGAGTAGATGAACCAAAGAATGAACATACTACGCTACCTTAACTAGCAAGTATTAGACAATGACTTCTATTTTTCAAATTTTTAAAAATTGAGTTTTTTTTTTTTTAATTGAGGTAATAGTCCTTGCTTCGGCAGCACATATACTAAAATTGGAACGATACAGAGAAGATTAGCATGGCCCTTGCGCAAGGATGACATGCAAACTCGTGAAGCGTTCCATATTTTTAACTTAAATAAGGGACCAGGAAAAAGAATAACTATAAGAAAGTAAAAATCAAAATCAACAAACAACTATGAACCAGAGACACTCTATGGGGGTTGGGGGCGGGGAGGGGAGGGGAGGGATTGGGGTCAAAATAAGGGGAGGGTCACAATTGTATGGGGAATATAAAATATATAATAAAAAAATTGAGGTAATATTGGTTTGCACACTGTATATTATTTAGGGGTACAGGTTCATACCTCTTCAGATGTATATTACCATAATGCACCCACCAGTAAAGTACCCATAATCCTCTACCATTGTCCTTCGGCCCTTCCCCCCTTTACTCCCTATCTCTCATACTCCCCTCTGATAGGCTCAATTCTCCAGTCAGATTTCTAGGGTTTGTTTTGGTCTAGTTTTATCTGTTTCTTTGTTTTCTTCAATATTCAAAATATGAGTGAAATAATTACTTTTCAGTTGACTTTTATTACTAAGTTTTTGTTGCATTGGTCCCTGCTCATTATCACTTTTTCAAGGAATTAGTAGGATCTTTAGACTCTCTTCCAAATTTCAGTCTCCCTGGATCTTCCACTTTTCCCCTTTAGCCCTCCTCTCTTTTTACACAATGTTTTCTTCATATGAGATTTCATCAATAGCCTGCTTTTAGTTTCCAGCTATACTCACTAATGCCTAAAATCTGTACCTGCACCCCAGATTTTTTCCTAAGCATTCTCACCTTATTGCCCAGATGGAGGTCCTATCAGTAAGTGGTATTATTCAGTTTGTCAAATAGAAACCTAATAATAATACTCGATCATCTTTTCCTTCATCACTCACATGCAATCAATTACTAAGTACTAAATTTCTAAGTCCTAAAAACCTCAAATTCTGCTATTCCTGCCAAACTATATGTACTTCTCAAATGAACCTTGTCATTTTTCATGTTTATGCCTTTTTTAGTATATAACCACATTTCATAGCCAATTTGGAAGTGGGGCAGGAGGGAAGAAGGCAATAAGCAAGTTAGTGCAGGGAGACCATCAAAAAGGATGTCTAAAAATTTTTATTCCAAAAGGAAGTACAATGTTTTTATTTTGTATTCAATGCTTTTAACTCCCCAAAGCTTCTAGGTAGCAGATCTCAAAACTAAGGATAGACATGACTTGGGTATAGTAAACTAGCCATATTATCAACATCTCAAGTGGGAGATCTTAAAAACTCTCTTAATCCCCTTCTCACTATATGCTATCACTGGATTGTGGAAGATCTTTAACATATGCCTTATGTTGTATATTTAATTTCTTTTTACATGTATGTGTGTTTGTGTGTGTATTTCCATTGACTAGCCTTAAGCTCCTGATAAGCCTTGGATCTTACCCTAAAACCTCCAAAATCCATTTCAAAGTCCAGTAGATAAAATGTAAACAGGAAATAAATGTTAGGTCTCAAATTAAGAACCAAAGGAATTTCATAACTAACTCGTGCGATTTCATGAAATGATTCTACCAAGTTCTTTAAAACCAAAGCACTTAAAAAACCAAGGTACTGAAAAACATTCTCAACAGGAATTTAAATAATCTTGGGCATCTTAATAAGCTCATTCCTAATTTCCAAGAAAGGATGCTAATTATATTTAAAATTGGAAAGTTCTAAATTTATCAGTTATCTGACTAGTCCAAGTAGATTAGGTACCCGGGAAGGATAATTCAGGAGGAAAATAATGATTTTAAGAACAAAAAAAGGTCTTGCTCAGTAGATTTCTAATATTTCCTCAAGTGTAACCATATTTTATCTAGGAATATTCAGTTAGAATGACAAATTACCATTTCTGTTAACCTGTGAACCTATAATTTTGATATACCAAAATCAACCAACAGTTAGAAATTCTGTTATAATTAAAACAATGCAAGACAAATAGTAAGTACCATGGGAAGAAATTCCAACAGTGATTGTGATCCAGTTTTTTCATTTCCATGCTTTTCAAAAAATTAGTTTCAAACTGATGTGGTTTTCTAACATTTCTAATACAATTTAAAAATGTCTTCTGTATTTAATTGTCTTCTTTAACAAACTCAAATAATATAAACCTCAATATGATGTATAAAATATTGAATTATATAAATAGCCTAGGCCAAACTTTTTCACAGCACGATTTACCCAGAAGGAATTCCACATTTCACCAGAAAAGGCTGAACACCTTTACTATAAAACACCAACAAAAGTGGATGTCAGCAGCTTGACTTTCAACATCTGTGTTACATTTCCATGGCAGAATGCTTACCATGTACATTATAAACCATCATAAATCAAAACTGTAAAATACAAAAATAAAAACTTACAGCTCCTTTGCAGTAAAGACGTAGTTTTCCGGATGGAGTGCGAACAATCACAGACATTCTTTTTCTAGCACTAAAAGAAAGAGGTTTTCCATAATGGGTCATCAGACTGAGGATATGCACATCAATGTTTGTCATGCCTCACACATTTCCTCACAGTGAAAAAGTAAATTTGACCAAATTATGAGGCCAATCCCTCCACCTACACAAACCATTCCCTGGGTACACAGTTATAGGTACCTTTGAAAGTTACACTATGTTTGAGAAGAGACTGAGGTACCACCTGCTTTTCTAGAGGACTAATTTTAAAAAACGGTTCCCTAGAAATCTACAAAAATTAATACCCATCAGGATAGAGTTTTGCTTCAATGTTTTCAGATAAAAAAAATCTAAGCAGTATCTCTTAACATGAATTGTGTGTTTTATTTTTTCTCAAAAGCAGAAATGCATCCCATCATACACTCTGAGTGAACCTTGGGATTTCAAAAACATACTTAATCTCACAACTATTGCTTTTTAATGATTACTAGCAAATCACTGGCATTAAAAAATTATATTACATAGCTAAGCTAATGAGCACAACCATTTTAACATGGTGTTGACAATATAAACAGTTAAATAAAAACTGTTCGCCAAACACATCTCTCAGGTGTGTTAGCGAAGAGATTGAAGATGATGATGAACAGAACACACTGGCATGGGACTGCAGAGGATAGGTGTCCTGGGAACTGAGCCCGGACAAGCATTCCCTCAGAAATGAGGGGTAAAGGACTTTGTATGGATCTGCACCTATCTGCTTTAAACTATTGTGCTGCCAAAAAGCTGAGAGCAATCCAATACGCAATAGTGACTGATAGGGCATCACAGCATACAGTCAGGAGTTGCCTTCAGAGGAAATACTGAGTCCCCTCTTTCTCCTTCAATAGTCCTCTTTGTGTGACCTTTATCCTTGTGCCTGGGGATTACATTTACCTGGGCTCCCTTGGGATGACATCTGAACTTTATCTCAGTCCTTTTTGATTCATACCTCTTTGAACCCAGCTTTGATGACATGGTCCCAAAACTCATCAACTTTCTTACTCTGCTCTTCTCCTGGCAAATATCTCAACCCCTGGGTGGATAGGGGCTCTTTCTATGGTACACCAGAGTAAGCAGACATTGCTGGAAAAAAGTCACCCAGTTGCAAGACTAGTAAATTCATGATACCAGCGTCAACTGGGTGCTCCACTGCCTTACAACCCACTGCATCTCTTCAATCATTTCCCTCTCACTCGCTGCAGGACTAAGAATACCTTCTTCAGTCTTCAATCTCCAGTGTATCCTTGTCATTCCAAGTGAATTTCTGTAATTTACCCTGACAGAAGAGTCAGATGAGAATTCTTTATTTGTTTTGTCATTTATCTCAGTGTGCACCATGTCCTGTCCTTTTTCTGATACAAGGAAATGTTTCTCTTCTTGTTAGAGACCTTTCACATGTGCTGCAAACCTGCTCTCATCCCATTTGCTTAGTAAGTTCACTACTAAAGCTATACTGCACCTCTCCCTTCTAGAATGGATCCTGCTGATCAGTATGAAACATGTTCTAGTTTCTCTACTATGGAACTCACCCCAAACAAGTCTCCTGCTATCAAGCCACATCCCCTTCCAATGCTCTCCCTATTTAGTAATAGCTCCACTTCTCCGAAACAATCACTATACATATGGTCTTCCTGCATGTCCCCTTCATGCCCCAGGTACTCCCATTGTTTTTTGCCTCGCTACTCCACTGAAAGGCTAAATTCAGCAAATACTTTCAGCCATCAAATTACCTAACCTGTGGCAATGTCTGAGACAGATGACCACGCTCCCCTGGAGAACCTTTTTTGACTGTGTTATTATCCTTTCTGAAGTCTTCTGCTTCATGTGCCACAAAGGAGTCTCTTGCTGCCCCCTGTTTTTAATCAACCCATAAAAGTTGGAGTTACTCATAGAATTGAAGGCTTAATCCTCAGCCTTTCTTGTCTCCCTCACTCCATATTCTTCCAGGAAATCCAGTTCATGTTTGTGGCTTTGAATACCATTTGCATGTCAAAGGTTATCAAATTTATCTTTCAGTCATAGGTTTCTCCATTATGTTCCACACTTTATATTGGAATGCCTATCCAATATCTCCACGTATATATCTTACAGGCATCTAAAAATGAATGATTCCAAATATCTTCTCCTCCACATCTATTCCTATTTCTGTATCTGATGTCAGTGTAAACAGTGTATCCACACAGTTGTTTATGCGAGATCCTAACTTTTCCTTCTTCGCTCCTTCCACATCCAGTCATTCCAACCTTCCCCTGACATCCCTTCAAAAGGCATCCAGACCCAATCAATTTCCCTTTATTTTCATTATCAACAATCTACTCTAAACCACTAATGTCTTTCACAAAGACTGTTTTAATGTCACTATATTCTTTTTGTATTTACACCCTTAAATCAACCCCTTCAGAGCATCCTGAAAGTTTAAACTAATCTTGTTTAATATTTTCCTCATTTCACTTATCATCTGGCAGTGTTTTCTAAGTGTATGTTAATAAACAAGCATATTAAATGCTAACTGATATTCTATTTGTAATACATTACAGATATATAGGCATAGGAAAAAGTCACTTTGACAGCAATAAAAAAAACCAAGGCATACTTTGGGAATAGTCTATTACAGTTAATTACCTAACTTCTTATACATTTCCCCTAGAGCTTTTCAGTGCATAAAAGAAAACAGTGTTTAAAAAATAAATTGGACAGACTCCCATTAATTTTGATATTAACCACTGACATATGGTCACTCCCAAAAAAGACAGCAACCAAAGTTGGCATAGAATAGAAAATGCTTCTTCAAGTCAGTATACAGGCTTGCCTTACATTGGAGGAAGTTCAAGAAGAAAGGTAGACACTTATTTCTTGAACATCTGTATTACTTAAAGCTGTGACCTTGAAGGTATTTTTAAGTATCTTTTGAATGGTGATACAATCTTTAAAGACCCTCCTGTCTGTAGTTGAGGCCCATATGGCCCCCAAATGTAGGGGAATTATATAATAATATGGAACTAAAATGCCAAAAATTTTACAAAGAGATCACTGATTATAATGGAAGGCTCCTATATTGACCTTGAGAAATAAAGTAAGTTGAATCATCCCTTTGCTTTCTGCTCTTTCCTACTAGATGGTAATAGGTTTTATACCTAACAGAGAAATAGATGGTCTCCCAAATCCCAAAGACAATTAACTATGATGAGGACATAATTAGAATGGTGAGTTTCTGACTGATTCATCTTCCACATAAATCTTGGCATCTCTAGGTTGTCTCAATATTTCCAGGTCACTGACCATAAGGTTCTGTAACCCATGGTTGTGATGCAGACAGTTATGTTGAAAAACATTTTCACATTGCCTCTAGGAGTCATTCTTGCCATATTCTAAAGAAAGCTGTTTATGCAGATGATAATTAAAATTATGTATTTTAACTAAGATTATAATTTAACATTTTGTTAAAATTTCATGTAAGTGAAAATAAGGCATACTCTCTAGTTATTAAAAGGGAAAAATCAAAATGAATAGAAGTATGTATCAAACACACACATCACAGAGCAGATGTTTTACCTGGTGAACTCCAGGACATTGAGCAATTCATATCGTTCTTCCTGTCCCAGCTATGAAGAAAAGGAATACACAATTACATAAAATTGAAAATATCTTTGGTTCCTCGGAGATAAACATTAGTCATAAGATTTTAATATAAAACATGTCAACACAAATTTTTCCTTCTGAAATATATTATTTTTAATTGAACTTATTAACTTTCAGGTTAAGGTAGAAGATTGAACATACACATTTAATTGCTGTCCTTTCCAAAGTCCCACTTAAATAACAGTGAAAACTAAAATGAGAGAAAGAAATGAGCAAATAAGGAGAATAAGAAAAGAGACAATAGCACCAAATATCTGGAAGCTGGAAAAAGATTCATGTGTGGTTTCTCATAGTTGCTCTGGGAAAGGCTGAGATCCAGGCCAATTTGTACCACATAATCCTTAAAAGGCTAAAAGAAGCAAAGATCTAGGGCATCCTTGGTGGCACAAGGGGTTAAGCACTGCTCTACGAAGCAGTCCACAGGCTCTGCAGCACAAGTTCGATCCCCGGCCAGGCAGGGAGCAACCCACATAGCACAGCAGACCTCTCCTGTCTTGCCCACTGCTCCCCTCAGCAGTGTATTTCAGTCAGTCTGCCTGTTCTGTTCCCCACTCTGTCTCTGGTGAATCCTCTCATCCCCTACATCTCTGGCCTGTACCCCAGCTCTTGTATGCATAAATAAATAAATCTTAAAAAAAAATAAAAGAAAAGAAGTAAAGATCTAGGTAGCTCCAGAAGTGTAAAGCACAGGAGGGGCCTAAAATAGGGAGGTCTGGGTAGGGGTTCCTTGAGAAGCTACCCTTAGCTCCAGTCCTTCCTTCACACTGGCAGAAGAAAGAAGTTTCACTCTATAATGGGTAAAACAAAGGATTTTTTATCTGGAAGTTGATAGAACTGAGTATTATATTATTATATTCATACTAAATGATGAACCCAAATATTGCTAGCCCACTTAGCTTCCAACATTCTGGCAGCTAGATCATTTCAGGCAGAAATTGGAAGACTGTACTCTGGGGAATCCAGTAAGTCCAAAAGAAGCAGTAAAAGTATAGACGCCATGACTTTCTAAAATAATCCTACCAGACCTTTTACTGGAAGTTCAATGTTGACAGATACCCTCCTATGCTCAGCACCGTTACATCAGCTTTCAAGTATCTCACTATAAACAATGAGAACAGTGTCAAAGATTAAGAGATATCTAAGGAAAGCCACTGACATGGAACACAGGTACCCCAAACAAATAAAAGCAATCTGGAGGGAAAAGAATTAAAGACAAATGTCATGTTAGTCTTGGAGTTTCAGGTTCTGGGGTTCCTGATGGTCACGAGGGACTGGTGAGTAGGTCCTGAATGCTCTCCACTCAGTTTCAACATAAGATTGAAGTGTTCGCCATATGTTTCATATGTGACATTTTTGTTCTTTAACTGGAACTGGATTGCAGTGGTTTCCTAATGGCATAAAGCTTTCTGCTGTGTTTTCAATCTTGGAAATACTGTCTGCATCTGTCAGCATATGCTTTTTAATGGGACCCATGAAGCAAATAGAGAAAATGTTTGAAACAACAAGATTGCTTGCAACAATTTTTCTGTTTTATGATTAATATTTACACTCTGTGTGCTGCTCTTTTGTGGCATGAGAGGGGGTTGGCCTTACTATTCTGCAAAGTGTAGCTCTTGTCGAAGACCTGGCACTGTCTATCATGTAGTCCATATGCAATGGATGTAGCAATTAAATGCTGTCTTTTCTACTGGGTAGAAAATGAAAAAATATAGAAAAATTGTATTTTTGGTGAAGTACTCATTTCCCAATAAAGAAGACTCAGAAGAATAACTGCAGTGAGTTTAAAAATAATTAACATTCTAGTTAAAATTATATATATGTAATATTTTATATCTTGGTTAGAATAGCCTATTTAATTAAATTGCTAGCTGATGGTTTTTTTTTTAAATGAAACTTAAAATTATCATTATTGCTCTCAGAGAAGTAACATAAATATGACATTGAAGGAACAAGATCAGGACACTATTAAAAAAGAAATGCTGAAATAATAATAAAAAAAAAACTTCTGGAAACCAAAACATGAAGAACAGAAATGAAAATAATCAATGAAAGACTAAAAAGAGGAAACTGAGGAAACCTTACAAGAAGTGAGACAAAGACATGAAAAGTAGGAGAAAAAATTAAAAGATTAGCCCAAGAACTCTGAAAAGAGAGAGTAGAACAAAAAGAGGGAAGAAAATTGGAGTTAATCAGGAAAATGTTCCATAACTGAAGTCTACCTACAATGTTCAGTGCAGTGGATGAAACAGTTCGGTAAGACACACGGACAAGAAATGTCAGAACTGGTGCAAAGAAAATGCTACAACCTTCCAGAGAAGAAGTGGGGTAAGTCATAAAAGACGTGAAATCAAAAAGATGTCTGGCTTCTTGATTAGGTGTCCTGTAGGGCAGTGATAGAGAAGCAATCAGAATTCTTCAGGAAAATGATTTTCACCCTGGATTTCTACATTCAGTCAAACTATCAATTAAGTAAACTATATAGGATAAAAATGTTTAGACGTGAAAGGACTAAAAATAAACTACTTCCCATGCATGTTTCTTAAGAAATCACTATAGCCTGCCGTGTTTCTTAAGAAATCACTATAGCCTGCCGCCTGCTGCTCCCCTCAGCAGTGTACTTCGGTCCTTCAGCCTACTCTGCTCCCCGCTCTGGCTCTGGTGAATTCTCTCACCCTCCTGCGCTTCTGACTGTACCCAGTGCTTGTATAATAAATAAAAATAAATAAATCTTTAAAAAAATCACTATAGCATGTGTTACACAAAAAACAAGAGAGTTATTAAGAACAAGGAAGACATGGGATTTAGGAAACAGAAACAACAAAGGAGAGAGGTAAAGTAAGTCCACAGGAAGATAGCAAAGCAATTTCTGGATAACTGTGGGCAAGACTGAACTGTTAGCCTCTGGTGCTTCAAGCCACACCAGGTAGGAGCTGGGTTTGTCAGGGACTGTCACCACTGTGTCTGTCCTCTGTTTCTGTGATGACTTTTTTAACCCTATGAAACTGCATTCCAATGAAATAAAGGCATTCACTATGAGAAAAGAGTCAAGAGACAGGAAGCAGAAAATGCAAAACAGAAGAAAATCAAAAGGAGTTCCAAGCACCGCAGAAGCAAACTGCAGAACAAACCACAAACCCAACCCAGACCAAGGAGAATGGAAGACTTCAAGAGGCCTGACTCAAGGAAAGAGCTGCCAATTGGCAGACTATATGGGGTGATTATACTAATAAAAAGGATGCTAAGAACATATGAAACACTTAATCCTAGGTATAAGGAAAATTAAGCAACTAAAAAAAGATAAGGGATTAATCTTTAGAAAATGAGGAAAAAATTTTAGGAAGTAATTTTATGTCAGGAGACAAAATTAAAGAAAATTACAGAACATGACAATGTTCAGCTGTGAATATTGCTATAAACATAATAATTAAAACACACAATAATGATTTCTTAGTGAAATACAATTTATATGTAATAAAGTACACAGATCCTAAATGCATAATTCAATGAAAACTGTAAACTCAGTGCAACCACTACACCAATCAAGATACAGAGCATTTTCTTCACCCCATAAATTCCTTTGTGCCAGTTTCCAATCAATTCCTTTGAAACCCTGAGGCAACACTGTTCTGAATTCTATCACCACATATCACTTTGTCTGAACTAGAGCTGCATATAAATGAAATGAAAGGGTATCATTCCTTTGTGCCTACTATCCCCCCACCCCTTAACATGTTTTTGAGATTTGCCCAAGGTGTTGATGAATCAATAATTCATTCCTTCTTATTGTTTAAATACTCCACTGTATGAATATATCACAATCTGCTTATCCATTGTCCTATTGATCAGTATTTGGTTTGTTTGCAATTTTTGGCTACCATGAATACAGCTGCTAGGAACATTCCATCTCTCTGTGGACATAAGCTTTCATTCAGGTGCATGTTGACCTATATTAGAAAATTCTAAAAGGTGTTCCAAAGGGATGGTGACATTTTATACATCTACTAGCAATATGTAGCTGCTCCACTTGCACTACACCTTCATTAACATTTGGTGCTGCTGATGTTTTTAGTTTTAGCCTTTTTGGTGGGTACATAGTGGTATCTCTTGATTTCAATTTTTACTTCCTGGTGACTAAGAATACTTTCTCATGTGTTCATTGGCTATTCATATGTCAGATATATAAGTCTTTTGCCCATTTTAAATTTAGGTCTGAATATTTATCCCAAAACTGTAATACAATTATAGTAATATTGAAAGGCATGGTGAGTTAAGAGAGAGAAATCCTCATTTAACACAACAGAATAGAAAGTTAACAGAAATATGTCTAAAATTGAAGACTTAAAACATACATAAGTAATCACATAGTTTTTGAAAAAGAGATGTATAAAATGACTGAAGAAATAGCTAAAAGACAGAAAGTGGTTACTTCTGAAGAGAAGTAAAACAGGGAACCTTTATTTTATTATGCATCTTTACCTTTGAAACTGCACATGTATTGTTTTGATGAAAAGAAGACTTAAGAATGAATGTCTTACTGAATCTATGATCACTGAGTCGGGTGTTCTTCCAGTGAAAACAAAATTCAGTTGCTTGGCTGCTCTGACCAAGGCTCCCTCATCTGTTTAAAGAAGACAGACAAAACGAAATACATGGTGAAAAAAAAAGTTATCCCCATACAAGAGAAAAACATTATTATGACAGAATTTTCTGTTTAATTTTAATAGAATTAACATTCTCTTTATTCTGGCCCCTGTCATTGAAATCCATTTTCTTCTAAATTATGTAGCAATGCCATAGGAATGAGTAGAATAATCTTATAGATCTGACATATGTGTAAACCGAGAGTCTTATTTTCCAAGATGAAATTTCACTGTTAGCCCTACCCGCCAACAAAGGTAAATTTAAATGCACCCCTTGTTCCTGCATATTCTCTAGAAAATCTTTCTCAAAATAAATGGCACAAAATTGCCTTCTTAAGTTGTATGTTTTGCCTCCCAAAAATATTGAATGTAGAAAAAATAATACTACTGAGGATTAGATTTAATTGGATATAAATGAATTGATCCTTTATTTTATTATGTTGTTTATGTTCACCACCACATAGCAGTAAACCTTATCACTGAGTTTAGGCTTTGAAATAAGAATACAATAACATAGATTCTCTCCTAATAAAATGAGATATAACATTTCTTGTGTGTGTGTGTTTAGGAACTTGGTACCTTCTATAAGGCTACAGGTGCTGGTTTAGAATACAATTTAAAACAAAGTTCTCCAAAGTGTGCTCCTTCATTCATAAAGTCTTACAGTCATGAAATTAACCTCTTTTACATTGAACATAGATCTAAAATTAAGCCTAAGTATTAAATATTGATAGCTGTGTTAGTGCATTTTAGTATGTTACACATTGGAACCTATTCCAGTGTATACAACTTTCTTCACTACTATAAATACAACAAGCTCCTTGATTATAATTTCCAAAAAGGAAAGTGAAATTGGGTCTCTAAAATGCTCCCTATTTAGGCAAACAGTTTCCTTTTCCTGTTTGCTTATGTGCAAAAAATAGTTTACGAATAAATGGTTATTCTTATTTATAAAGGAAACTTTAGGTATATAAAAAGTACCTATTTTACTTGTGTGAATGTTGTTATTCAAATTTCCATATAATTTATGCCACATACCAAAAATCACAGTTACATGTTTTAATATCTACCTATTCATTTTTTTTTTTATATTCTCAAACTTCAGAAAAATTTTATACCAAAATATGTTTCACAAAACTTTTATTCGTACCTGGAGATGCTGCTTGATAAATAATTTTATCACCTTCTCGCTCTGGCACTGCTGTGTGACAAACTGCCATCATTGTAAGAAATTCACATATTATAGGTGCAGTTGGCTGCAAGAAATAAATGTGTAACTTAGCACTCTTCATTTAAATACTTTGATACACTAGTAATATAGTAATACTACTTCATGTCTATCTATTAAGAGTGTAGTTAACCATTCAGAACCTGGGGTTATAGTCAACTAAGAAGTCAACATCTATTAGGAAGAAAACATTTTTAACTAAAATCACTCACTCTTACATTCATTTCATAAACATTTATACAAGAAAATTTTGTGTGGTCAAATAGAAACAACAAGGAAAAGGTTATACATGAACGAATGCTTTCCTTAGAGGGCAGGAGAAAAAATCAACTTGTTCATTTTTCTGGTTTTAATTCATGATCAGATTTATTTATGTATTTTTAAAGATTTATTTTTATTTATTTTTGCATACAAGAACTGAGGTGTAGGCCAGAGGTGTGGAGGAACAGAGGATTCACCAGAGATAGAATGGGGAGCAGAATAGGTGGGTCTACTGAAATACACTGCTGAGGGGAGCAGAGGGCGAGACAGGAAAGGTCTGCTGTGCCATGTGGATTAGCTCCCTGGCCAGGGATTGAACTGGTGATGCAGTGGCTGCTGATAACTTCATAGTGCTGAGACTAACCCCTTGCACCACCAGGGAGGCCCCATGATCAGATTGAAAGTTTAGGCATCTAATTTATAATAAGATTATAGATAATAGAATCCAACACTCTAGGTTGGGGTGATGATGATGATGATGATTCTTCTGTAATGCCTTGTCCTCCCTCTCTGCCTAAATGGCAATCTTAGCTGATATATGTTTTACTAAATAAAAAAGAATTGACTGAACAAGTCCTATGTAAAATGGCTCTTGGGACCTGAAGAAGACATGAAAGTGGATCCTTTCTACAATGAGCTTAAAGCTTGTAGAGGAAAAGACACCAGATATTTTAAATTAAACATCTTCCTATCAGGCTTCTAAGAAAGAGAAATGTAATCCAAATTAATAAAAGAATAAGTTCCTCTATGCTCTTAATAAAAAGGTAAGGTAATTAGAAAGGTAAATTAGAACATTATATGAAAAATCTGTGTTGAGGCTGGAAAAACAGACCAACAGAATAGTCCCTACTATGAAATGCTTGACAAGTGGGAAAGCCAGAACATAGATAAAAACACAAATGTCACTTCTTTGTAGTGTGAAATGAGCTAGAAAAAGAAAATGTGCAAATATCAGTATGCAGTTGTTCTCAAGAAAATGTAACATTTAAGCTGATGTTGTTGTAGTCTCATGAAGAACTGAACCAAGAGAAGAGATTTTCATTAAGCAGGAGTCAGACACCACCCACTGAAAAAGTCCTAAAGTAGCAACAAGTGAAAAGGAGTTGAAAGAAACTTGAAAGAAAAGCAGAGTGGCTCCAGCTGGAGTTGGTGACAGAGGCAGGGGTGAGATAATGGAACTGTGTAAGTTAAGAGGGAAGCCAAAGATTGGCTTTAAACAAAGAAGTGAAGGGACCTGATTTCCATCTGTATCATTCCTGGGGCCATGTGCAACAAGAATTGGAGGAGAGTAAAAATGGAAATGAGAAATCTGGTTGGGATGTTAGTATGGTATTTCCTGGGGGATATTGATCATCCAGACTGGATACAGAAAGTGAGAATGAAGTGAAGAAGAAATTCAGGATATATTTTAGAGATCAATATTGATGAGGACTTGGTGGCTCATTATGGATCTAGAAATGGAGGAAAAAGAGGTTATCAAAAACAATTCAAGTTCCTGGAAAATGAAAAGTCAGGTGTGATTTACTGAAGCTTGAGAACTCAAGAGGGAAGAGGTGGTTCATGTCTAGGAAAGCTCTCCTAAGAGGTCTCGCAAATATCTCTATGAATACATTGGGAGGGCTCTATCCAGGGGCATACTAGAGAGGAGCATGTTTTGAGGTAATGAGTTTGAGTTCATGTTTTGGCATATTAAACTTGAAGTGATTGTGGAAAAAAGTTCTTTCATTTAAACTATACAAAATCTTATTCCACCTGATAGAATTTTAATGAGTGTCATTAGTTTCATAAGTGGAATGTGCAGCTTGGGTGGCAGCTTGGGTGGCAGATGTTCTGGTTGTAGAGATTTGGCAATGGCCTATATACCTGAACTCATCCCTGCAGATATTTTGAAATTGTGATTTGCTTCTTACAAGTAGAGTTTTGTAGCTATTTAATATAAAATATTTTGAAAAGTCAGAATGACTAATGATAATACTAAAACTAAATTTCTAACCACCATAAATTTATGGTAGTCAAGTAAAAAGAATTAGCAAGACTAGGGCCTCCCCGGTGGCACAGCGGTTGAGCGCTGGGTTACGAAGCTGCCCGCGGCCTCTGCGGCGCCGGTTCGATCCCCGGCTGCTCCCCGGCCACCTGAGGAGGGTCCCACATGGCGCGCAGACCTCTCCTGCCGCCCGCTGTTCCCCTCAGCAGTGTACTTCGGTCCTTCTGCCTGCTCTGCTCCCCGCTCTGGCTCTGGTGAATTCTCTCACCCTCCCGCGCTTCTGACTGTACCCAGTGCATGTATAAACAGAACAAACAAAAAACAAATAAATAAAGAAATAAACATGCCTCTTAAAAAAAAAAAAAAATATTAAAAAAAAAAAGAATTAGCAAGACTAGATCTTGATAATTATTAAAAATGATTGCAAAATTTAAAAAAAGAGAAATATATAAGGATGGAAGGTAATTCAGGGAAACACTCAATAATTTTATTCATGAATGAAAAGATAATGGTTTTTATGATAATGGATAATAACTTACATGATTATTTTGTAGATTTTCCAGCAATGATGAATCATTAAATGTTTTTTCATCTCCTAACTGTGAGCTCTGCCTAAAGAGGGAAAAAAGGGAGCAGAGTATAAACCCATTGATCTATTTGTAATTTTCTTTTTAAATAAATTATTACACCTGCAAACCCCTAAAAGATTAAACATAATTTAATCTGTATTTGTAAATAAGACATAATAGATTTCATGGTTGAATCACAAAATATTTTAAAACATTCTAAAATGACATGTTTTTGCAGTGTAATGAAAAATTCCATTTTATAATTCATTTTCCTGGAGTAAAACTATCCTGTAGTCACATGAAACTTTAAGACATTAATTAAAAAATATAGCAAAAGTGTCAAAATTCCCAGAGTTAAATTTCTCTTGTTTCCCTAACTTTACCAAGGTTTTGAGTATTTAGGAAAAAATCATTATTAAAAAAATTGTGATTTTATTCAGTCTATGACTAATACTATATAATGACCATATAGAATATAAAAATATGAAAGATAAAATGTTGTTTATATATTTTATCAATACCACTAACTTATATTTGATATATTTAAGTACAAATCACATTTGTTCTCCATATAAAAGGGAAAACAAGCCATAAAAGTATGGGATATTTTGTATTGCAGTTATTTTCAAATTAGCAGACACATTATGTATTTTATATGGATCAAAAGGAATCAGAATTACCTCTGTAATCTAGCTATTAACCTCATGGCATGCAATTAAATATCAAAATGTTGAATCCAAAGGAAGAACAGGAACATGCAAGTGTCAAATGCAAAGGGTATAATTTGTAATATTCAGTGAAGAAATAAATATCTAAACTTTTGTGCACAGTAGAAAATTTTAGAATTAATTCACTGAGGGAAAAAAAAATATATACAAGACTAAATAACTATAATCAATATTGTAATAGCCATTTTTATAGGTACAAAGAATATTATCAATGCCAATGTGTGCAACAAAAATAGTTTTCTATTTTAAAGCCAGCAGCTTGAACGAATAAAAAATTGAAGAAAAATGTATTTTTCCCACAGACCAAAACATGAAGTTATAATAGTTATAATAAAGTGTATCTTTATTTACATGTAGTAGTTTGGTCTGTTCTCAAAATTATAATACATCTATTAGTATGCAGTAGTTTAGAATTCTCAAAATATCCTCAGGAGGCAGAATAAACACATTATTCTTATTCTCATTATTCCTACCACCTCTTTCCCTCTCCAGTTTTAAAGATGGAGGGAAAAATCAAGAACTTTTAAGTGATTCATCAACAGGCAAACAAAAGGAATTAGTATACATTTTCTCATCAAATTTCTTAAAAACAGTTTATTATTTGGGGCTCAAGAAAATCTCTCTACTATTAATATGTATTATGCATACATGTATATTTTTCATTAGTTACACTTTTCTACTTTAGAAAAAATGAAATGTCAAGGAATATCCACAAAAACCTCTTACATGTAGAGGTCTATTTGGTTTCTAAGGAATTTCAGGCTAAAAGATGTCATAAATCTGAAGGTATGTCTTATTAATCTCATCAGGAATTCATTTTATAAATCAGTTACCATAATTAATATAATAGTCAAAAGTGTTTAAAATCAAATAACTCTAGATATGCAACTGAAATGTTTACTTGGACATATCCTACTCTCCATTTCCCAGTGAAGGCTTCTATCATGGACAACACTCCTTCTAGAAAGTTACTTTCTTTCCAAGATCAGAAAAAAAATCAATCCACCACTCATTTATTAATCAGAGAGCCTGGGTTGGATAACTCAAGGATGGAATTCTCACCGCCTTTCCCTGAAAACTAACAAAACATTCACTATCAATGAAAATACACAGAAAAAAATAGGAAGCTCACATCATTAAAAAATATGAAACAAGTGCCTTAAAAATAAAAACAATTCTTTAAATTGTCAACTCATGAAACTGTAATAATTTGCAAACTGCCCCAAAATAAATTAAATTCTTAAATTTAATTGTTAAATTCTTCCATATACATTTCCAAGTGACACTTTGCTCACAAGGAGACAAAGAACTGATGTGTTTTGTAAGGAGCAATAAGGTAGAGAGCATAGCATTCAGGAAAGGTAATGAGTGGGCTGCCCACAATGTCACAGAATTTGCAGCTTCTTGCAGTGGATTTAAAAGGTATGATATATTATTAACAATTATTTCCTGATGGCACAAAAATGAAGAATCCTTATAGCATAAAAATTAAGAGAAATCCAGAAAATATATGATTTAGGAAATTTTCACATATGACAGTATGGATTATAGTTTATTTTTTAAATTTCATGTCAATAAGAGTCATCATGGAAAAAAATCTCGATCCATACTTTACATCTCCAACAGCATGGACTAATTTAACATTAAAACTATTAAAGATGTGGGAAAATAAAAAAACCTAAAATTAGAAATGCATAAATATCATAATTCAGAAAACAAATAGGTAAATCTGATGCATGAAGCCAAAACATTTCTGCATAGCAAAAATTACTGTAAGCAAAGCTAAATGCCACCTCATACAATGAAGGTTAATTTCCATAAAATAAAAAGAACTCATAGATTTCAGTAAGACAAAGAACAATGGTGCAATAGATTAATGATCAAAAGATATAAACACAATTTTAAAGAGTAAATAAAAGTGGCTTTAAATGTAAGCTCTATAGTCCCCCATAATAAGATAAAATTTATCTATTTGGCACAAATAAAGCTTGGTAATACTCTGCTGTTGTGATTATGAAAAAAAGTTAAGTCATATATCATTGGTGAGAATGAAAATCTGCACAAATTCTATAAAAGGAAGTTGGGAAATTTCTACCAAAATTTAAAATGCATGTATTCTTTGATCCAGTAATTCCAGTGCCAGGAATTTATCCTAGCTATTTACTGATGCAAAATGCTCTCTCTATAAATTCATTCATTGTGGCACATTTTTAATAGCAAAAGATTAGAAATAACCCAAAATTCCATCAGGTACATTACTTCAAAAAATTTTTAAAAATAAAATAAATTTTTTGTACACTCACATAATAGCACATCATACAGAAAAATGGAATATTTTTCATAGGATTTGGACAAAACTCAAGAATGCACTGAGAAATGAGAAGCTGGTAGAAAATGTTTTGATTTTGTAAAAATATAAGAAAAAATACATGAAGGCGTAGTCACAGACTAGATCTGGAAGAACACATGTGAAATTGGTCACTGCTGCCTCTAGAGGGGGTAGCAGTGGGTTCTAGGGACTAGGAAGAGGGAAGGAAAGGACACTTGAATTTGCACCATATTTAATGCATTATGGGCTTTAAAAGTAAATCAAATTTAAAGATCAAAAACAAGACCAACTTCCTACAGTCATCTGAAATTTTTATACATCCCGCACAAATACTAAGTGCATACACATATATATGCCACACACATGCAAACACATGATGACAAAGGCATTTGGAAAGTAAAGTATTGATTTATTGAAAGGATCTGTACCTCCTACTTTTGAATTATGCTACTGGTTCCAAACCAGAATTCCTTAAAGTGAAATTTAAATTTTAGAAATGAATTTGTTATTAAGTCCAGTCAAGCCCAAGAATATGAACACAGTATTGACTTCAATCATATTTTTTTGTTAGACACCAGTTTTGACTGAAATAATGAGACTGACTTTTCTGTGTGGTTCAAAAGGACCCTTGAAGGCAATGACAAAAAGAGGAGTCCCAAACACAATCTGTGAAACAGCCACATCACTGGAATAAATTACCTGTCAAAGTGACTACTTTGAAGACTAACACTAATTTGGATGTGTTAGATCTCATTATTAGACAGTCACACCTGCAAGGATGTTTTAGTGAGCCTAGCTGTTGCATCAGAATAAATAACCTCCACTTATCCTGTACACAATTAGAGATCAGAATGAAGGGAGAAAATAAAACCAGAAAATTGTACTATACACCAAAACTATGACAATAATAAAAACCACAGACTAAGCACACAATACTTTAAAGTAATTTTCCTGGAGAAGCACCCTCAATAGCATCTACTTAAAAAAAAAAAACAACAAAACAAAATGCAACAAATAGCTATTAGAAAGAATAATGTGGAAACACATTGAATGGCTATATAAGAAAAAGCGAAATAATATTATCTGAAGTTAGCTTCAATATAATAGTAGGGGAAAGATATAGATGTATTTAAATTAGCCTTGAGCACATATTATTGAAGTAAGCAGATAGGCATATCTGTCTACTTTTGTTTATACTTGAAATTTTTCACAATAAATGTTAGAAAAAGAAAAAAATGGTTATGGAAATATACAGTTTTGGAAAGTAGCCATATCTTAGCGCTACACAGATGCCAAAAATAAGCAGATTTTTTTCTCCAATCCCCCAAATATTGCTATTGTCTAGAGAAAGATAGATTTTTAATAGAAAGCAACATAATCTGTAAGGTTATATGCTAGCTGAGAATACTTGCCAATAACAGGAAATTATATTAACTATGGAGTAAGTGGTTGTTTGGGAAATGATTTTCTCTCTATAACACACTGGAGTTCAAACATCATCCGATTATCTTTAAAGTCAAGACAGTATGTTTGAAAGAGTTATTATAGGCTTACTTTCAAACTTGACTAAATGTAAATATGTAAAATAATCAACATAACATTTAAATGTTGAATATTGCATGTTTTTAAATTGATATTTTGTGACCAATACAGTTCAAATAGGGTAGTAAAACATACAGGCCACAGATTTTATATCAGGAACTTGATGAACATCACACTGAAAGATGAAGGTGTTGACAATCAGATTGGGATGCACTTTCAGACTTTAGATTTGTATGATCATCTACACACTCCAGTTCACCCTTGGAGACCAGCAGCATGAAGATTTGTTCAGACCCCTGATGTATTGGATTCAACCAGAATCATGGTTTTGATCCTCATTTCATTACAACATGAAACCACTTATGTGAGTTTGGGTTGATGACACATTTGTGAAGGTGCCAAGCTGTGCCTCTCCAACTACCCTGCCCCTATGCTCCAGAGTTG